ATGTAAAACGAAGTGTGGAGTGATTTTAAAGTTAAAGCAACTCATTTCACTTGTCTGTCTCCCTGTTACTGAAAAATGTCTGATGGGACACAGGCACTTAGTTGAGCAGCAACGACCTCCAAACCTCTTCATCACAGGCTGTGCACATCAGGTGTGCAAAATCCAGGCACCTACAAGCCATCTCATTAGTGACATTTACCATTCGTGCTACCTGACAGTCCTTACTCCACGGTGGAGCACTTGCATCAGTTTTCATACCTGACCACCTCCTTGGACCATTAAAATCTTATGGTAATCTTATACCCTTTCTATGATCTACAGAAATCCTTTAGAACTGAGAAGGAACGATCAGGGGTGGCTTCTGATATGGAAATGCTGACTTTGCATGACATCCACCTTTCATTTGAGTGTTTAGTAAAGGTGCTAGAAGAATAGCTGTGAAAAATGAAGTCAGTTAACCACAGAAGAATTAACATACGCATAAAAACTTTCCTCCAAAAGGCTAAATGCTGTTTTGAATATCTATTGACAAAAAGAAACTTCACTAATTTTGTCTGTTTTTAATTTACTCTCAGTCAAGTTTTCTTCATATCGTGAATGAGTGCTTTAGGGTCACTCAAAGAATCTGCATCAATGGTGTTAACAAAAGTGATTTTAATATGAATTTGTAAAAGTGTGACTTAACAAACTTCCATGGTGAGGTGCACTCTATTGCTTACTAAATGGACTAAATGCACAAATAAAAATTAAGTTATAACTGATTTAGAATGAACTACATAGAAATTGAAGACACAAAAAGGTAAAGGACACTCTCCTATTGAGTCACGAGGTTCAGAGTGGACTCTCTTGCTTTCTAAACTCCTGATGGAGCTTAGGTGAAGCTAGGTCCAATCTTAGTCTTTGACTTGGAAAATGGTTTATATCTAATGGAAGAAATACATGGATTTCATTAGTGTTGATTTAGCATGTGATCAGCAGCTAACCAAGGATCTGTTGTGAATAAGGTGTCCCTCTGCCTTGGTTAAGGAAGGATCTCTTAGTCTCAGATAAGGAATCTCAAACTTGAGAGGTGTCCCAGCTGTAAGGGAGGCTATCACCATGCATCCACACTGCTGTGCAGGCAGAGCTCCAAGAAGGTTCTCTAAAGCTGTCTTATTTTTGGGATAAAGTGGTTGGCTAACAGTTAAATTGCACCGGAGAGTATGCATGAGACCCCTTGTACCCAAAACTTTCTTTGTGAGTCTTGGAAAAAACATCTGTTACTCATATGTTGACCACAGTGTTTCAAGCTCATATGCACTGATGCTCACTGGGTCACTCTGCCCTTTTCTGGGTTTTCTGGAGGAGTTCTTGGCCTGACTATAGCTCAGGCCTTTACCTCCTTTGGAGCCTGTACCAAACTATTTTTAGTTTGGTTAAGGGGGTTGAGCGCATCCATCACACTCTCTTAGTTGTTTGAATCATACTAGTTCTGTTGTTATTCACATTATTTTCTTAGAATTTTCTCTACTGATTTAATGATAAATGTAATCAGCGTGGACTATGTTCCCCTGCACGATGGATTTGAATATTCAAATCAGCCAAGAAGTTCTCAATGTCGCCTCCTTTTTTCTTGACAGGCTGAATGAGATAAAAAATCATGTACAGAAACTTGACTGTCAGGTAATACTAAAGATGATCTCAAAGTTCTACTAATAAGGCTCAAGAGAGGGAGAGGCAGAGAACTAGGAGGTTTGGATGAAAACAGGCATATGATACACAGACACCTTTGTGTCTGTGGGAAGATCTCAGCTGCTCAGCCCACACTGTGGAGCTCAGCATTCATCAACTCCTTATGTGACATTTAAAACCAGATTTTCAAGGAAATTGGCAGTGGTACTGAGTGAAGGTGGCATTTTCCTAATAAAGAAACACAAATTTGGATTTGGTGAGCTGGGGTTCACTTCATCAAGTTTTTAGGGGAGGCAGAGGGAAAGAAAGCTAGCTGTAGTGTTCCAATTTTGAAGTTAATAAGGTTTAAAATGGTCGATTTGAATTGAATATTTTACCTTTGGGAAATAATTTTGTTATTTTTAAAGGTTAAAACAAAACAAATAGGTTTTTTTCTTTTACAGGTAACTGAAAAATATTAAAATTTTCATTGATTAAAAACATAATTTTGTTCACAGCGCTCTTTGATATCTAGCACTGTGCTCTTTGCAAAGCATGATAAAAGCAACACAACTTGTTCTTGACTGCTTATTTCATAATATTTTTCTATCTTTCACAGATTGTAGAGAAACCTTTTCCTAAGCTTAAAAAACATGCTAGGAAAAGTAGAATTGCATTGCAAAGAAAATCTGGGATGCAGAGGGTGACCTTATGCTAAATGCCACTGTTTAGTCGGACTTGTGCAGATTGAAAGATGGGGATATGGCAGTGATGAGAACTGAATTTGGGTCTCTGTGTCAAAAGGAGAGTGCATTTTCTGGTAAAGCCTGTTGTATCTGGAGCTGAAAACATTGCTTTCCTTTCCTATGCATGGTGTGGCTAGGAAAGCTTGGCTGGATCTCTGCTGGTTCCTGTCAGAGGCACAGGTCCTTTTAAACCTGTATTTCTGGGAACAGTCTTGTCCAGATACTGCAATCTCTGAAATAGCCACCAGTATGTTTCTATGTTGGTGTGCATTGTGTTCACATTTTATAATACTGAAGGTTAACTTCATGTTAGGGAGACTGGAAATAGGTTAATTAAGATATCTGTTTTGTTTAAATAACACAAAATATTGAGTGAATGCCAGAATTGCAAGGTACTGACTATAATTGGCATTTGTGGATGTGGCATTTGTATCTCCATATTTCTGAAGCTTTGGGGAAACCTGTCTTTCATTTAAACTTGTGATCTGTCATTAACAACTCTCTGCTCAGAAAATTAATTCCAGCTAGACTAGAAACTGCAATCTGGAAATCTTAACAGTGTTTGGGTTAATTAACTCATCATTTGATTTGTTCACATGTTAATAAGCTCTTGAGGATCAATGAATTCTCATTCAGTATAAATAAATTGGATTGGGGAAGCAGTTAATACTGTAATAACAGTGGTGCCCATATGGGCTGGTTTGTGTATATATTTCACTTTTTAATTACCAGCCAATTTGAAATGAAATGTGCTTCAGGGTCTGAGTTGGTTTATTTTCTTTCAGCTGTCTGAGAAACAGAATCATCTGGTGTGGAAGACTTTGGATGCTGCCTGGAAGAAAACTCAGTCTGGCTTACCACAGAACCTTTTAGTTTTACCTTACAAAGCAGATTACAGATCAGGTATTTTCCACCTTTCAGTCCTCACATCATTGAATTGCCTGTCATTTAAGCTTCTGAAATTAATTCCAGAGGTTTGGGCTGAGCATATTTAATCCTTATCATGGATACCCTTTGCACATTTTCTTTCCCATCAAGATTTTAAAGGCATTCTCATTGGTAATGAGGACTAGCGGGACACAGAAGACATTTTGATAAGCTGTTACAAATCCTTGAGGACAAATGTCTCCTGTGAGTTTTATTTTTCTCTTTAAAAATATTCACTTATTATTTGAATGCAGTTGAAAGCTGCTGTAATGATAATTTTCTAGAGCAAGGGATTATCAAATGGCATCATGTGTTTGTGGCATCTGTCACATAAACAGAATCCCCACTCTATAAAAAATGTCTCGGGAATCTTATCAGAGATAAATATAACATAGGATTGTTTGTACTGTAATGATCCTAGATGTAATGAAGAAAATGAATTCTAAAATCATAAAAAGAATGAAAAAACCTATATACAGTAAACCCTCTTGCTCAGAATTTTTTAAATATTCTAAGATGTGGATTACGGAATTAATGTTATAGACATAATTAAATAGTACTGAAAATCATCTGCAGTCACATGTATGAATCACCTGCTTTTTTGGATATGAAGATGCTTAATTTTCTTTGTAAATCTTAACAGTGAAACTGTCCAGTGAGCACTTACCTTCCTATTTATAACTTTATTTGCATTCCTTTCTTTTCATGTACTTCACACAGCTCCCTCTATCTTCAGTTCTTGTGCTCTAAAAATGTTGCTGCTTCTATGGAGTTTCTCTTCAAAAGCCTATGTACAATGACATTGACGCAAAATCACCAGTGTATCTATAATAACTATTATTTTATTGTATACTGTTTGACTCCTAGCATCACTGATGTTACAATTGACAGATTTTAGATGGATGCATTGTCCAGTGATCTTTGATTGAACAAGTCCTGAAAACAGATCTAAAGTTGGATGCCACAAAGAGCAGTTTCAGCTTCTGCAGTTCTCAGTAGTTACAAACCACATGAAAATCAATCAGCCTTCAAGAAATTAAGAGATGTTAATCATATTGACAGCTTTCAAGGCTGATGTAAATGGCTGTAGCTAAACAAAAGGGATTGCTGAAATCAATGCAACTGTGCTCTTTCACTGGTGAAGGATCTGAAGCAGTGTTTTTTTGCCCTGTTAGCACATGTTCCCTTCTTACAGGGGTATCATTGCTCTTTACAGTGCAATTGTTACTTCTTGGAGCTTTGCACTCTTGAAAACTCGAGCAGTTGAACTTCCAGCTCATAACTGGAGCTCACAGCTCAAGCAAAAGTGTCTTCAGTGGAGTTTATGCCACTACACTTGATTATTAATTTTTTCCAGTCTAATGGTTATCTTAGGCACATTAAGATAGCTGCAAATCATGACATTACTGTAAAGCCCCTAATCTGATGCTAAATAATTATCCTGTTCCACTGTAGCACAAGGACAGAGAAATTGTCCTCTACTGATTTCACTACCAGGCAGATAGGATCATTTTTTGACCTGCTATTCACCTTTGCTGCTGCCAGTTTGCTATTCCCAGAGTTTCCACCCCTGTGCTTGATTCAGTTTTTGGAATTGGAAGGTGATCATGGCTGTGGGACCTATGCAGTCCCCCTTTATGATGAAACATACTTACACAGCTGCAGCAGAGGGAGAGGGGACACTCATTGTACCTGTGAGGGAGCAGAGGGGCAGGTGTGTGAGAGGGGGCATCTGCAAGGTCTCCGGGTGTGCATGGGGCAGATAGCCCTTGGCCAAGCCCACTGAGCTGCTGGCAGGCATCTGACTGTGCCCTGTCTTGAGGTAGGTAAAATCGTCAGGTGTGATGTGCTACACAGTTGGTAGGTGCCATAATTCATGTTTTGAAAACTGAAGAATGCAACAAAGCGCAATGTCAAGGGTATCCAGGAGTGAAATTATGAGGTTTGATTTTGAGACAGGCTGGTATTTTTAGTGCCACATTTTCTAATTTAAGCTCAAGCCAGTGGGACAAATCCTGGCTGCCATTGCTTGAATGCTGAGTATGACCTCTGCTGGAAGAGGAGACCTTGAGCTTTCCTTTGCCATAAGTGGATTTGTGTTTTAAGGCTTCCCTGCTGAAAGGTTTGTTTTTCTAAAGATTATTGTTGAGGAAGAATGCAACTGCATACTCACTGCTATTTTACTAACAATTTTTTATGAGAATCTGGTTTGCTAATCTCTTTTGGGAATTACAGGGAGAGAAAGAGGAGAGATTGTATTGATCTCAAGCGCTGTATGTTGGTCAATGGGTTTGTGTAAGGATTCATGTCATGTAAGAGGTGAACTAACACTAATCTTTGTAATTGATTACTTATTGATTGCTCCCAGGAGATATGTTTTTATATGAAAAAGGGACTTGCCTTCAATTCAATTATGGTATGTAAACAAAGTTAAGGATTTATCTGAAGGAGATTGAAAAGGTGAAAGGTGATGAGGAAAGTTCACAGTTTATGTTCACTTCAGAGGAAGTTGATTTTATTTGAGATTACCTATTACCTATCAATGGAAACATTTTCCAATATGCTCTAATGTTAAGAGCATTGTGCTTTTTCATGTCAAGACACAACCTGATAATAAAAAGAATAATTTTATCAATTTGCTAAGTGATTCAATCTAGCCATGTTTGCTCTGATGGTATTGAACCAGAAGCTCACAAATGATGACTTCAAATAGCTGGAGGAAAGGTCTGAGCTGAGAAGTCTGGGGCTGGCTGAGTCACACCATACATCTGCATTTCTTTGAACCATTTGATTTGTATCCTTATTTTAGTTTGAGATTTTTGTAATACATGTAGGAATAATCTGGAAATAAATTTCTGGTTCCAGCTGATCACTGTGTTGAAAACAGTTGTTTAATACAATCCTACTTTACAGATCCAAACAGGTTACCCAAGACAAAAGATGTTTTTAATTAACGTGTATTTGAGTTGGAAAGTCTCTTTTCCCTGTGTTTACATTCAAAGTTTTGCTCCAGTCAAAAAAACCTATATATAAGTGAAGAATTTGTATAATGGAACCTAAACATTCTAAAAAAATAACTATTGGTAATGCAGATCTAAGAGAAATAAAGAAAAAAAAAGAATGAATGTTGCTGTGCAGAAAAGTTCTCGACCATAAAATGTAAGTTCATATTGCTATGTGTATGTTCAGGTATCTAACACTTTTCAAGGTGTTATGTTTCTCATACTGCTGCTCTTTTGTTCTAATGTTGGTAGTGGGGTCTGTTTGGGGATATACAATGGGAAATAGGCATCCTGAACCCTTTGCCAAGAGCAAGATGATGTTGAAGTCAATGCTTTCTGTGTCTTCACACTAGGATCTGCTTGGAGTGATTTTTATGAGTTTTTCTAACAGGTTTTCTCACACCTTATTCTTTCCTCTTTTCTCTGAATGTCCGCATCACTCTGATTGTACTCTATATGGTGAGTTTGATGGGTGTTATTGTCATACGAAGAATGACTTTTTACAGCCAAGCCAAGCAGCAGCAAAGTCTCAGGCAGAACTTGGCAGGTGCCGACTGAGCCAGCCAGCAAATCTCAGGGCTGAGCCCTGGCAAAACACCTGCAGAGCCTGAGACACCACCCCTCACCTAGTGACATAGTAATATTTAGTGACAACAGGGACATGGTTTAGTGATTGACTTGACAGTTCTGTGTTAATGGTTGGACTTGATGATCTTAGAGGTCTTTTCCAATCTTAAAAATTCCATGATTCTATGATCACTGGGCTGCAGGTTTGCTGTGTCTTCCAGGGGGGATAGATCAGCTAGAAAAAGCAATAGCACCTGCATTTACGAAGAGAATCAATGACTGATCCAGGATGAATATCTACAGATTGGACTTTATCTTTCTGTTCTCAACTCTGAAATAAATGTTATTTCTTGAATAATTCTGGTTCCAATGCAGTCAACATTTCAGTTGGCCTCAAAGAGTAGGACAAACTGGCAGCAACAGAGTGGTATGTCTTCCCTCGATCTAAATATAAGGAATTTCATAAGAACAACTTGTGTAATATTTCTGCTAGAGTACCCAAATCTAACTATTAGCCATAAGATTTTCAAAATTGGTAAATCCTCCTATGATCAAGAAACAATTCACCAAATTATTCAAATGTACTGTACAGCTGAACCAATTTAAGAGACTAGGGGTCTGTGAGATAGTACAGGTAATTTAAACCCTTGGAATGATAGAAGATCCTATTTATTTTTAACTCAGTTTATTTGCACAGAATTTAGTGGGATCAGATGGTGTAGCCAAGGTGATGATGACAGGGAAGTAACCCCTGGATTATTTCGTATGGTGCTGTACCATAAATCATACTGAAGCATTTAGGAGCAGTCCTTGAACTAGAGCAGCCGCCCACTGGAGCAGCTCATCTGATCTGGAAGCCATGGAAAACTTGTGAAAGGTAGGCTGATATATTGGTTAGACAGTACTGATACTTCAGCCTTTAAAAATTATAGAGATATTCGCTTTACTTCCTTTGTTTCTCTTTTGCCCTGTACTTTTGTCCATCCCCCTCAAAGGAGCTGGTATGTGTCCTTTTCCCTCTATTGTTAAATGTGTGCATACATCTCAAAATTCTTTACCATTCTGGTTTAATGAAGTTTGGTCCTTTTATAGATACTTTACATATTGCATCACAGATGCAATTTCAAGGGATATCAGAAAAAGGCATCTTTGACATTGGCCAGGCATGTCAAGTAGCAGTGACATTGCAAATATAAAACATACTCCAGTAGGAAATTTCCTGTCATTTGTGAAGCCTGGCAGATATTAGATTCTAGGGAATCCTTGGGGTGAATGTTAGGTGTCCTGTATTTCCTTAAAGACCTCAAATAGAAAAGTGCAAACACTGTTTTGGCATTGTTACAAAGTTAAGTATTCCTAAAATATTATGGGTTTGGTTTCTGTTGCCCAAATAGCTTTCTTTATACTAAAATACAATTGGAATTTCTTCGTAGAAACATCTAGAAATACAATTTCTACTACTGTATGGATCTCTGCTCAAACGGAGTATTGTTTGGTAAAGAATGCTGGTAATTTGGTATCTCTTTCAATTGTTGATAGATAGAATGCTTCTTTTTTATTTTCTTTTTTTTTTTCTTTTTTTCCCTGCTGGAAGGTCTCATTTTTCATTTCTTCTTTGAATTTTGACCGTTTTCCTTGGGTTTTTGATGACATGTCTTTTTTAATTTTTCTTTTTTTTTTCCATATTCAACATGTTTCCTGAAGGAAAAGAAAGAAGATGTTATGGACATAATATAATTTGGCATGTTAATAAAATAAGGGTACACATTGAGGTCAAATGCCACAGACTTACTTGGCAAAGGCAGTAGATAGTTTGTCTGAGGAATGAGACTTTTTAAATACATAATAAGGATTTCTTTAATTAAGGAAAGAACTCATCAGGGAAGACTGCCTATGTTACTTAGAGCATAACTTAAGGAGGTGTGCAATACTGTATACTTATTGCATAGATGTTGTTAACTATATGAATTAATTGTGGCTTTAGTGATTGGGATATCCAATGAAAAAAGAGCAGGTAGTAAATGCTGTTCAAAACTTTCATCAGCATGACAGAGGACTGAATTAGAAGAAAGAATAGGTTATCTGGGAAACGCATGATTAACCAGATACATCATACAACTTTATTTTTCACTGAAAGCCAGAAAGCATTCCTTTTGTATGCAGGCCTGAATTCCTTCTTTACCCACTAGTGTTTGCTGTATTTGATGTAAAATGGTAAAGTAAAATGTGGGAAAGTTACTAGTAGTTGTTAGCAGAAAGATTTTTCTTTATGTACTATATATTCCAGATTTGTTAATTTTCTATCTTCACTTATAATAATACTCCTTGTGTTGCATTAAACTCTCTCATACAAAAACATTTTCTTGTAATTAGGTTTTCTTAGAAAAATATCACTACTTTAAAGTAGATGCAGTTCAGCTGTATAATGTTTAAGCCTTCTAGGTATTTGTAAGCTATTTTTCAGGTAAACGTGAATCTATTAACCTGAAAAAATATGCAAATATTTTAATTTTTCCGCTTTCATTTAAATTAGCTACTTTAGTTTCAAATTGACTGTAGAATTGATGATACTAAGAAAAATAATAGTCATGGGAACAAGAAGATTAACTTAAGCAAAAATGCTACCACATGATCTGTGAATTAAGTCTTTGTCAAAAAATCTGGTTCAGTTCAATTTAGAGTTTTAGTACATGTGGGAATAAAAATATTAACTAAAAGCAAGAGATCTCTGAACTTCAGGAGATCTTCAGAGGATGTGAAGAAAAGAGCACATGATAATATGACACAAAAAGAATGGAACTGTGAAAAGTAGCATCAAAGTTAAAATTCTTTCTCTATCCTGACTCTTTTTCCTAAACCAGGAAAAATAAGATGTTAGTTCCAAGAAAGAAAAAATAAAACTGAAAATTTAACATAATAAATGAATTATTTGTAAACAATGTGAGTTTGAGTGCAAGAATATAAAAAACCCCAAATATTTATATTCTTTTCACGGATTTCTACCTAGATTTACTTGCATTAATGTCTAATGCATTCTTATCTTATCCTGTTGTCAAATTTTGACTGTACTGAATAGCTAAAGCTACACTGATCTCACCGCTGTGAGATTCTGAGCGCTGTTCTCTTTGACTTAAAAAGTGAAAGACTCATTCACAAGTTTCCTAAAATTTATGCTCCCTTCTGGGCATTTTCTACAATGTAAGATGAAATAACTTTTTAACTAAGAATTTCTCACCAAAATTTGAGTTCTCTT